ATATATAGATTAGAACTAAAAATAAATTCAAAACTGAAAAAAACTGTTCTTACTTTTATTGATTAGAGTACATTGTTTCATTAGTGGGATACCCATGCATAGTCCGTATGCTACTTAAGTACAGGCTTAAGGAGTGTGTGATGAGAGGTGATTCTGTTAATTACTATAAAACCTTAAAAATCAGCCTTTTCAGGGAAGGGAGCGAGACATTCATAAGATTATTGTATGATAAATTTTTATCATTAAATATAACATTCTATAAAAATTGAAGTGTTTTTTTGTATATTAATATCATGGTTAGTAGTCTATATGATTGCCTAAGTCTAATTATTAACGGTTAATTTTTTTATAACTATATGCCAGTTATTAACTAGGTAATATTGTGTGTTTTGGTTACTAATATGCTGATGCCTTAAGATTCTTATTATTTATGAACATCTGATGTCTGACTAACTTCCATAAAACTCATGTTTATGAGCCTTCTCTAAATGTGATTTATCTAGTGATGACTGTTTATGATTATATACATATATTTATTTTTTTTTAGATGTGAAATATTTACCATTTTTAACGTTGATAGAAAAATATTCCAGTATGTGAAACATTTCTCAAATTATTTTTGGTCACTAAAATGTATATTATATTACAGAAACTTTGTAGTGTGTGAATAGTTACCATTTTTTACTCTCTGTCACCAATAGAAAACTTCGAAGGCAACTAGGGTTGAATGAAGTACGTCGTGCTGCTAGGCGACCAAGTAGAAAATTGTATGTAAAACTTCCACAGTATGGAATCCCTTCCTATCGGCAGGTCATCACACAGGAATAGCCCTGGTTACACGACCTGCACTTACAAGCAGACAGATAAAACTGCAATGAGTAAGAAGGCCAAAATTGTCTGTGTGCTGATAAGGTTTGAAGTTTGTATGATAAGGATTCTTTTGGAATAAAAGACATTCCGTGCAGATGAACAACATTCTGTGTGTTTAAGTGCTTGTAGAGAAAAGGAATGAAAACAAAAGATGGTGTGTTTCTGATCTGACTAGGGAATGATAGACCTTTTAACAAAAAATTGTAGACAAAAAATATCGTTCTTGCTCTGGCCTGAAAATGATAGTGATCTTTACAACAAGTGAATAAAAACAGAGGTTGTATTTTAAAAAACAAAAGGGGTATCATTCAGATTTAAATCTGGCCCAGATAGCTGACAGCTTTATAAAAATGCAGACAAGTATTATATTGTAACGTTGTTGATTGTGTTGTTTACTTTGTAACTTCTAACATTTTGTCTATCATAGACAAATTCACAAAGTTTTCAACATACAGATTTTTAAAGTCAAGAAGATGCATATGTCAGAAGAAACAACAATATTTGTTAGAGATCCCCTCAAGAGGTTTTAAGACTTAAAATTCCCATCCCTTGAATTGTTATTTCATCTACAATATAAGGAAAGGATATACACCGTAGAACAAGGTGGGGACTTTTTTGTTTTTTTATGCCAGTGCCAGGTGGGTCCAGTATTTATACAGATTACCATAACATGGGTAAGCCTGGTGGTTTGGAATATTTGTTCTTGTGTTTGAATTAAATGAAGTTTCTCTTCCGTAACATTTAAATGTCACCATACTGGTAGTGTTATTTTATACCTGAAATGCTTGAACGAAATTTTATTATTATTTTTTAATCCTTGTTCTAACATATCTGTGTATCCAACCTGTATGATAGTTCCAAACGTAACACTGTTTTTCAAGTTGTCCCCTATTGAACACAATTTTTCTATTTAATTTGAGAAAATCAAATTTAAAATATGTAATGGCTTTAAAATTTCTTAAAAGTAAGAAAGTATTGCATCATCAGTTACATTATCATTTTGATGTCCATGTATTATAAATAATACAATTAAATCTATTGGTTTATACAAAATACTTTTTTAAAGGTTGTACTTTCAATTTTTCAATACATTTACTGGTAAATATATCTATCACAGGATTTTTAAAAACCACACCTCTACCTCACCTCCCTTTTAGAAAACATGCCTTGACCTGTTTGGAGCTATGTGTTGTATTTAATATCTTTTCTGAATAATTTTGTCTGGTTTTAGTCCAACAATTAGCTATAAAAATTAGGAAAATTATCTTTTCAATCAGTAATTTATATCAAGATTTAAAAAACTTTCACCAAAGATTAACCAAAGTCAGCTTGTGAGTTTTGGTGGGACTGGGCAGGTTGTTTACATTTCCAATTAAGACGAAATTTAAATAAAGCAGAACCTTGTTTGGAGTGTTATAGATTCAATTAAAATTTTTTTTCCAAAACATAATTAAATTGTTGCATGGTAATAGCTGAATAAAAACTATCTGACTTGTTACTATCTTTTTGTAAAAAAAAAAAAAAAAAAAAAATTTTGCCCATCATAAATAATTTTTAAAAAATGAGCAAAAAAATTAATCAAAAGGCATTGAGCCAAACTTACAAAACAAACTCTTTTTTTTTTGTACTAGTTAGTTTTTATTGCACCTAAGTATTCCTTGTAAATGAGTTTCACTTGGAGTATCATACAAGTTTTTTTTTTTTTTTTTTGTTT